GACCCTTTCCAGGTTATCCACATCCCTCTTGAAGTGTGGCGCCCAAAATTGCACGCAGTATTCCAACTGCGGTCTGACCAGAGCCTGATAGAGGGGAATTATCACCTCCTTGGTTCTGTTTGTCATGCATCTGCTGATGCACGATAAAGTGCCATTAGCTTTTCTGATGGCTTCGTCACACTGACGACTCATGTTCATCTTGGAGTCCATTAGGACTCCAAGATCCCTTTCAGCTTCCGTGCCACCAAGCAGGTCATTTCCTAGGTATGCTGGACATTTCTACTCCGTAGTTGCAGCACTTTGCATTTCTCCTTGTTGAATTGCATTCTGTTGTTTTCTGCCCGTTTGTCCAACCTGTCCAGGTCTGCTTGTAGTCGTTCCCTGCCCTCAGGCATGTCCACTTCTCCCCACATTTTTGTGTCATCGAAAAATTGGACAGAATACACTTCACTCCCTCGTCCAAGTCGCTGATGAAGACATTGAAGAGTATCGGTCCAAGGACCGAGCCCTGCGGGACTCCACTGCCCACACCTTTCCAGGTTGATACCGACCCGTCCACTACGACTCTCTGGGTGTGACCCTCTAGCCAATTCTCCACCCACTGAACCGTGTAGTCATCCAAGTCACAGCCTCTTAACTTGTTCACCAGTATGGTGTGGGATATCATATCGAAGGCCTTCCTGAAGTCTAAGTATAAGACTACCATTGTACAGTGTCATATATTCCTTGTAATGAAAAGCTTGAAGATGGATCCTGCTCAAGTATAGTTTCTCCTTGGGACATAGTAGTATACTCATGTCTTTTCCCAGTGCTCTGTGTTCTCCCACACTGAATATCTGACCCTACACCATGGACGAGTGGTGCCTTCTCAGTTGGGGAGGGCACTTGCCCCCACAGCGGCCAGTCACCTACTGAGTCAGGGGGTCCCCCACAGCCGATTGCTCCGACAAGGGAGGGTTCCCCCATGGCTGATTGCACTGACCAACCAGGGATCAGAAATTCCTAACCCCAATTATGGAGTCAATGCTATTCCAAACTAGGCTTAAATTGAACAACCTCAAATTTATGAAATATTTTCCACAATGCTTACACTAAATTTCATATTATACAGGTTTCCCTCACTTTATGTGAGTTCTGCATGTATGAATTCAGTCTTATGCCATGACCCTTTTTAAACCAAAAATTAGTTATATGCGAGGTAAATTCACTCATGCAATTGGTGTGGTGGAAGCTCGCAGTCAGCTGCTTCGTGTGGTACATTGTGAAAGTGATATAGGCGGAGGAAGAACAAATTATTTGGAGGGGCTGAGCCAGGTGGTGGTGCCAGGCCAGGTTGCAGCACCAGCCCCTGCAGCCCCGCCTGGTCTGGGCCACTCAGCCGGGT